AGCCCACGAAAGCTTATGCTCTAATAAATTTGTTAGTCTCTAAGGTGCCACAAGTACTCCTGTTCTTTTTAAAGACTAGCCATTTTGTTTTTCACATAAACGTTCCCCTTCCATCATTTTGTTTAGAAGAAGCAGACCATATGCCCAATGATAACAGAATTTAATTTAGAAGCAAATAAGTAGAACTAAAGGAGAAACCATAGTATCTAAGAATGGTCAAATAAAATCAAGGGATAATCAACAACAAACCACCTGGTCTAGGTTTTCAATACACTATGAATTGCGACTGATCATTTAAAGGCACAAGGCATGTTTGTTTGGCCAGGTTGGGAGTGATTTTATATTACGGATTGGAGATTCTGTTACATTCTGTTAAAGCCTGATCCTGTGAGAAGCCAAGTACCTCACTCCCGTTGACTTCAGTGGGAAATGAAGGTGCTCAGGACCTTGCAGGATCAGGCCTTTGTTTTGTCATTTATCATTTTTAATTGGTGTAAGGCACCAAGAGGGCCTGATTCTCTGCTCCATTACACTAGTTTTACAGTGGTGCCACTCCATTGAAAACATCGGGATTGCACTAGCATAAAACCAATGGAACAGAGTGGAGAGTCAGATCCAGTTATTTTTTATGTAACACACCCCCTTTTTTCTATCTTAAGAAGATTCAAACTGCTCTTTTCACACAATTGTAGTTTGAAAGAGAAAAAAGTGACTGAAAAAAATCCATTATTTCCCTGCCTTCTCAACACCTTTGGTCATTTCACGTGGCCTCACCGACACTGAAATGCAATGTGTTCATGCCACGGACACATGCAGTGGCAGGCAATGTGAAAAGCTGAGTATTAAGGAAACATCCCTATGAAATAAAAACTTGTCTACAACAACTTCATGATCATAAATGAAGGGAACAAAAGAAACTCATTCTTACCGGCTCTCAACTGCTGCTTGAAACTCCTGCTGACTAATGACCTCTCTCTCCAACCTGTCAATTTTTCTGAGAAATACAGAAAAAGGGATCAGACCCCATGACGTTCAGAAAACATATTATCCTGCATATTGAAAACAAGTGAGCCCTAGATTAGTGAAAGGACACAGCTAGAAGATCATTTTGGCCCACATTTCATGACTCAGATAGACGGCCCAATACCATTCCAAGGTTTCTTCTATGTCATCTACCTTGTGCGATAAGGGGCAAACCTTGCCTCAAGTGTACAAGGCCCTGCCACAGGAGAAGTGGTCTGGCTGCACTGTGCACAAATGGGGCATGACTTGAGGAGTCCATTTTTCCGGGGGTTCCTTTATGCACAGCTGCTACACAGAGAGGAGCAGACAGTGGGTCGGCCGGCAAGTGAAAAGAACCAGCGAATTTGCTGATTCCTGAATCCATTGGTCAGGGAGGGTGCAGACACCAGGAAGACTACTCCCCATGTGAGGCTGTATGGGAGAATTCCTATTTCCTTTGCCCCTCAGCTCTCAAGGAATTCCCCAATGCATAGTCAGACTAGTCAGACTTTGCTGGAGACAGGATTTAGGGCAATGACTACTTTTCATGTATAGTTGAGGTAGTCAGTTATTTTTTGTCAAGGTCCAAATTTCATGGTCAAGGTATAGTCAAGGGTCAGACTCCACAGAAAAAACCCCCCAACAATAATTATAATAATAAGTAAATAAAAATATTTTGGGGTTCAAAAACGTCTGGTTATCTGGATTTGGCCCGCAGAATGTCTATTGATTACCTGAGTATATGGCATATCAGTTGAAAACCTTCAATGACTTGCATCTTAACAAAACGCGCTGACTGAACACACCAGTGAATCATTTAAAAGGCGCACTGTCAAGAGTTACAGGCTAAACTGTGATTTTAACGGTCTGTCTATGACTGAAAACAAATTCATCAGCTCCCTCAAAGCTCAAGGGCTGTAACACAGAGAGTTCCAGTTTCTAGCTGAGCTTCTGCAGCAATAAATGCAGGGCCTGGAATCTATTTGTAACTGTGGGCAAATCCCGAGGGACACCACAGCCTCACACAGCTAAGGAGAGAGTGGGCATAGTTGGCTTTCCAGCACCTTCCTTGACCCTAGGGGCCACCAGCACAAGTTCTAGCAGCCTGAGGGAGTAATGGGGAAAGCTCTTCAGAACACAGAGCACTCCAGCCACACACCCTACAGCGGGGGTGCCAGGAGTCGGTGATGCATAGCCAGCTACCCCAGTTCTACACCACCCAGGGGTTCACCTCCATAAGGAGCATCCCCAACTGGCAATTTAAGCCACCTTTCTGTCATCTTTACCCTGCAGGAACAGGCAAAGGTGACAAAGCGGGGCTGAGGATCTGGCACTTCAGTTTTGCCTGCTCTCATGGGGACGTAGGGCACTCTGCACTTTGCAGGGTCAGGCCCTATGGAGCAACTCTCACGACGAGGCAGAAAGGTCCACCAGGGCCCCGCAAATGCCTAAAATATATGTTTTAATTAAATAAACTAAGAGTGGTCATTTCTTCACAATCACTCACACTTCTCTGAAAAGGAGGTCGGTGATGATGCCACCTTCTCAATAATATAGAGGCTAGCAAGGGGTCATTGGCTTTTAATGAGATCTTGATTAGCATCTGGAACCATTGCTAAGGCTCCAGGCCTGCAAAGGGATCTGATCTGTACAGAACCTCACTGAAGAGTCCAACTGATATCAACCTATTCAACAACAATGGAACTCTGCAGGGGGATCCACACAGTTGCACCCCACTGCAGGATCAGGGCCTAAAACATTGTCTCCTGTAAAAACTCCTTTTCTTTCATTCTAAATTTGTATTTCCAGTGTTCGTGGATTCTTTCTATTTTAGCACCTTCAATAGTTCTAGCTCACAATCTGTCAAACATAACAAGAAAAGACACTTACTGGAACGTGGCCAAGAGTGAAAGGAAATCAGATTGAAACAAATTTGCCAACTTTGCTTCAATTGCAGTCAGAGTGGAAGCTGGGCTGATGCTCCTTTCACGATGAAATCTACAAAGGATGCAATTTAAAAGCAAGGATTAATACAGATATTGCACATACCTTCTTTATTCTATTGATATTCTTGTGCTGCAGCTAGAGCTGGTCAAGAGATTTCTGACAGAACAGTGTTCCACGCAAAAATCCAGATTCAATGGAACTAAAATGTTTTCTGGCTAGCCGGCTCCCAGCTCTGGAAGGCACCGAGAGAGAATAAACATGGAACAACACAGTGCCATAACTACAGTACCTTCCAAAGTATAACCACGCTTTTGAAAATAATGTACTAGCCCGCACCTCTCCACACACGTTATGGCTAGACGGTTTGGTCTGTGCTATTGTTCAGAAACTGGCTGTGGATATGAATCACTACAAACACACCCTTGGTGTGCTTTATAATAACTCCATTCAACAGCTTACAGGCTACTATTACTAGGATACCATCAGCGACAGACCACCGATGGATGGTCTGTTGGAATGTTATTTTTAGATGTTGGTTGGAGAAGTAGAAGATAAGATACTCCTCTGTGCTCAGGCACTCCTGCACACCCTGTGGGTTCTGTAAATCATGCTAACATAGAGCTTTTAGTGACATCAAAAGCCTCTGCGGCCTGGTCAGGATGACTGAGGAACAGAAAGCAAGACAACAATTACAAAAGTTATACATGACAATCATGTTTTAAGAGAAAAATATTAAGGCCAAATCCTGGCCTTACTATTATGATGTGCATTCTTAGGTAGGTGAGTGATGATGGCTAAGCAAAGAGCCCTGAAGTCATTATGCTAAAGCAGAGCAAAATGGGATTAGTACAATGGGCTTAAGCCAAACCCCACTGACATCAGAGAGAGTTTTTCCATTTACTTCCATGGGCTTTGGATCAGCCCAGGGTGCTCAGCTATGCCCCCTACTGCTGTTCCAAAGCAGAGTCATGTGCACTTCTCTCAATGCCCGCTGACAGGGTGTGCGCCTGTGCAAGGGCTCACGCTCCGTGCCATGCTCCCATTCTAGTAGACCACACCACTTTAGGGCTATGGAGTGCCTCCAGATATGCCAGCCAACTCCTTCAACTGCTCATGGAGATACTAGGTGGCTTCTGTCCTGCTTCTGCACAGGTGAGAATAGGGTTACCAGTCCTCTTCCCCCACCCAGTGCTCCAACACAACAAGACACATCAGAATTTTGCTCTGAGCAACAGAACATAACAGTACCTTTCTAAGAATTTATACAAACTTCAGATGAATCTGATGCAAGGACCAAAGGCCCAAGTGTTCGTAACCAATGAGAAGAGTAATAGTTCCACATGATGAAAAAATACAGAATAAAATCTGAATTAACTATGGTAGCTCCTTCCTATGGGTCTCCAACACACCTTGTCTTACTTGTTTATATTTTAGCTTGTAACATTTCTGGGCCACAGGCTGTCTTGCACAGCATCAAGCATATTATTGGTGCTTAGCAAATAACGAACAACAGTAATGACAGCATTGGCCACATTATTTTGTTGTAAATACAAAATGGCATTGAAGACCTTTAAAAATATGAAGATTTGAAAAGAAAAATGGTATTATCTATTTCTGAAAAATAAACATCATTTCAATGGATTAAGTATTTCATTAAATAGGATCGTGAAATAATTCATTTACTCCTGGACTGTTACTTTTCTGTTCACATTTTGTTAATAATGTTCAGCTGAATTTTGTGACAGTCTTTAAAGTTCTTCTGGTACTGAAACTCCCACAGCAGAGGGCAGGAGAATAGCACAGAGGAAGCATGGCTCAGACTGAAAAGGGAGTCTCTCCAAAGACAAAATGGATAGTTTTACTGTTTGTTAACAGGTTTATTTCAGGTTACTTATCTTGTCATGGAGGCAGATTCAGTCTTTAGAGGCCCTATCTAGTAGTAGTTATCTCCAGCTTTCCAAGTCATGCAAACTGCAGAAGGCCATGGCTTATGGCTCTGTACCAAGCCACTTATTCAGGGGGAAAGTCATCCTGCTTCAGAAGGCTAATGTTAAAATAAACTTGTGCTTGCTGAAGCAAAATTGCACATCTCCCACTGTGGTACAATATTCCCTAATGGTCTATATTCCACCACCTCTACTCCAAATGGGAACCAGGCAGCACATGAAAATTTCTACAGGCCAAGGTTCAGAATAACCTCTAGCCCTCAGTGGTGCCCAAGATGAGAAACGTGCATTGTCCTGATTTAAGGGACCTTTTTTTTAAAAACACAAATCAACAAAAACCTTTGCATTGAGGAGACCTTTCCCACTTACCAGAAGGGAGAGGTTCTCTTTTGGGGATGTGGAGGGAGAGGGGAGCCCTGCCCTAATTCCATCTGCCATTTTTCCAGGAGCGTTGTAGGGGGAAAGGGTACAGTGTAGGCTTGATGAGCCCTACTGGATGACAGAAACAACGCTGTCGGCCAGAAATGCAACATATTAGACTTTAACTCTTTCCTGGTTGTCACTGTTAGTCAGGCAAGAAAGCCTCCACTTCACAAAGCACCCCATGAAAATTAGGTGCAGCCTCCACAGATGCAGAGCATAGGAGGCCTATGGAAGTCACAGAGGCGGCTTTCAACTGGATAAGGGCCGTTGGATTGTATTTTCACTTCTCTTTCTGGTCTGAGTCACTGGGCTTAATTCTACCTTGTGAAAATGGGTGCAGCTCTACCAAAGCCATATAATCAGAGAAAGCAATGATAAATAAGCGACGACTTCATACGAACTTATGCTTGGAATTAGAGAGAATTTTGTGTGTGATCCCTCTGTCACTACGATCCTGGAAGTTCCTTAAAAGATCCAAATAATTGATCCCAGTTTGGCTGTTTTCAAGACCACATCTTGCCAGGAAAAGGTTAAAATGCTCCTTTTTGAGATGCATGTCAAATTTTTGTAGGATTGACAAGAAGGATTCTTTTCCCACCTTCCAAAAAAAAAAAAAAAAAAAGTGAATCAGACTTCACTTTATTTAAATAAAACTTTAATATGCAGAATGTCACTGATGAGCTTTCTCATTACTTATTCTGTTGCATGATCACTGTATTTATTCAGTGTTCAAGGGCCACATTCAGCCACCTTACTCGTAATGGGCAAAAATCCCAACTCCACTGAAGTCAATGGCAATGTTCGTATTGGCTTGGGTGGAGCCAGGGTTTCATTCAATGAACAGAACTTTACTCTACAAGCAGTCCCATTGATAGGAGTTCTCCCCTCCACTGTGGCTCTTTTATCCTGCTGTGGATCAAGCCAAAGAAGAATTCCCCCTGGAGTAGGCTTAGCTTAAGGCCTATCTGCAAGCCCCAGCATTGGTGGCATGTCAGGAATGCATTGAGTAACCATTATTTAATAAATCTTCATATAGTTTATTATAGGTCTGGCTACAAGCATTGTCTTTGGTGCAAGATCTAAGGGAAAATTGACCTGGGGTAAGTGACTGGTCCTTTGTGATGAGGAATAACCTGAATCTTGTTGTGATTTTTGGTCTTAAAGGCCATCTACTACAGAGATGTGCTCCCATGGGTGGCAAGATAAGCCAGAATGTCCGAGGGGACTGTCTGGGACCCCGTTTAAGGCTGTTAATGTGCCTGATCAGTTTGCACTTGGTGCAGTTGATTGGTGAAATCTAAGTTCAGAATTCACAACCAATTTGGAGTTTGTGCCCTAGTTTTTAAAAGTGTGCCCTGAGTTGGTACTTGTACTCTTGGGCCACCATTGTGAACTTAATAAAAAGTGTCAATCTATAAAAAGAGATTGCAAACACTTTGGGCTTGTTTGTTTGGTCCTCTCCTTTATACATAATCAGTCTTGCTAAACTGCTTGCCTTGGTCCTGATTTTCTAAATGTTTGGAATAAACACTTGCTACTCAAATGGTTAGTGCCTATTAATACAAAAGGGACCATTTTCTTATTAGAAGCATCACCAAAGCTATGGATATAAACAATATTAATGGATACATTTTCCAGCAATTCAGCAACAAATGTGGAGATCACTGCTATACTGGTAAACACAAAGGACCAAATAATGCTCTTCTCGCTTATCTAAGTAACCCTACTGAGTAATACCAGCTGGCTGGTTAGTGTACTGGGGTTTGGATTCAACAGGCCTTGCTTCACATCTCATTACAGCCCACACAATACCTCCAGATCATTTGCTGTGGGCGCTTCCCCATTTAGAACAGATTCACAGACTAAAAAGCATTTTACCTTTCCTGTTTTTTGTGGGTCATGTTTTTCAAATTCTTCTTTCATGTTTCTAAATCCTTCTCTGAATTTATCTTTCAGCCACCTTTCTATGTCAAGTGAAGCTCTGCGTTCCCACTCTGCTTTCGAGATTTCTCTGCTTTGCCCTTCAGTTGTGATATGGAAAGAAAAGTTTAAAAATTATTTAATATAAACAAAAAGAAGACAGGCAATATGGTGAGAAAAATAATACGACTCTAATGCACTGAAACTGTATAGTACTGAAGGAGTCAAAGGATGGGAAGACAGCAGTAACTCTCCGTGATCTAGTTACTGATAAGTCCTAACAGTGGTGAAACAGCCATCTTTCTTCAATCAGTGATGCCTCCTGTTAGTTAGAGCACAGCCCAAGACTCATTCAGATTTTCCAGGTACTTTTTTTTTAATCCAATTAAACTTAAAGACATCACTTCTCTGCACCTTGTACAACTCCTTTGTTGCTTTCTTTGCAAAGTATTTCTTGGGTGTAAATTTAACCAGGATCAAATTTGCAAATGACACTAAATTTTGAGGGGTAACAAACACACAAGAGGACAGAACTAAACTGCAAAGTGAGATGGAAAGTGGGGACTGCAGGGAACAAGCAGAGATCCACATCTACAGTGAAATAAGCAACAAAGATACAAGGTGAAGAGAAATAACCATGCAGCTGCGTTGGTTGCATTTAAGTGAAGTTATTTTCATCTTGTCTCCAGTAGAGTGAAGATGAGGAATCATAACCAGACAGTTAGGAGGGGAGGTGTCCCATAAAAGGATCTCAAGAAGTGGTGTACAGAATAAAAAAGTTTGATGACACCTGTTCTAAAGTGCAAGCCAGCATCAATCCAAGCTTCCCCACACTGCACCACCAATGTGCTTTAACCCTGACTTCGAGGGATCACCCTGAGATGTAAGAGAACAATTCCTCCTCCACAGCCATTCAGTCTCTGCTCATTGGGGAATTCAAGGCAGATCCTTCATACACCAAGCCACACATTTGTATGCATCTCTGAAACTGAACGCAGAGAGCATTAGGCTCCCCATGTCTACCCTTAAGCTAGAAGGCTGGACCCTATGACAGAGACTTACATTATAGGTACTCTCACTGCAGGTCTGTTTGCTGTATTTGTAATATATTTGCTAATGTATGTGTTACTTGATCAACTGTCAGACCTGTTCATGATTATATTGCCCTCTTGTGAGTGTTGTATAAAGAGAATAAAAGCCTTACATATATTTGTAACAAAGGTTTTTCTTTAACTCAAGTAGTAGATGCCTATGTTTTTGGAACCAAAAGTCCTTGATGATTCTATCCCTGATGTTGCAGACAGGTAACTGAGTAGATAACCATGGTGTCTGTGCATAGGTAACATCATATAGTGCAGGATATTTAAGTAAACATTGACACAAAGAAGAAAAACTCCCAGAACCTAGGAAAGGCAACCAGCATAATCAACTATAAGCATTCTATAAACAATACTTGGAGGATCTAAATTACTTGTTCAGTGCTTAGATGTTATTCTGATAAGTACTATAGAAAAACCTCAGATAGAGAGAGTGGTGGAGAATGGTATCAGTAAACAACAAATACGGTGGAAGTTTTGTGATGTGGATACCTAGTCCAATAATAACTGAATTAAAACCATGAAATTCATTTCACAGAGGCTACCAGACAGCCAACAGACAGAGAGTAACTATTTTAAGACTTGACTACTTCTGAGCCAGTTGTCTAGAGATGTATCCATAACCAATCCCACAAGTGATTCACTTTCCATGACCTTTTTTTTCTGATTGCCATGAAGGTTACTGAAAGCTATGGATTCAATTAACCAATATTTATTTATTTTTTACCAGAAACTTTAGCATTGTTTGAAGATCCATTTTGGAGCTCAGCTCCTAGTTTTTTAAGTAGTATATCTCCTTTCAGAACTCCTGTTCCTTCTGTGTCATACCTGCAAAGAGCAAGAGGAGAAAGTCATTATCAGATTTAGCTTCCTTTCTTAGAGAATAGTTCATGCTTCCTCTGCATTTGTCACCTTCCTGTGAACATCAAGCACTGACAAAATGTCAGCAGAGTCAACCCAATGGACCAGGTTTTTTCAATAAACCAAAATTGAACAATAGAGAGACAACACTCCCAGCTGTCCCCATAATATTAGATAAAATAGAGGCAATGGTACCTAGTGGTAAGCACATTAGCCTTCTATTGTAATATATAAAAGAATAAAATCAATAGGCCAAATCCTGAGTCCTCAACTGACCCCCATTCCTCTGCTTCCACTGAGAGCATGGAGCAGCAGATGGGCTCTGCACCTCGTGTTCAGGAGTCATGATTTGACTTAATATCATATACTCCCAATTATCTGAAACCCTATTACCCAAACCTCTGCATTATCACTCACTCCCATGACAGCAAGGCTGCAAAGGGATGACCCGATGTGGTCACAGGGCCAGTGACACCCGATCCTGGCAGGCACCAGGGGCAGGGAAGGCTGCAGTCCTGGCAGGGCAAAGCAGAGTCCTCGGCAGGGAGGGCAGCACAGGAAGCCCTTGGCAGCCCCGCTGTCACAGGAGTGAGTGAGCGGGTCCACGACTGCAGAGGGCTCCCTGCACTGCCCTTTCGATTATCCAAACTCCCAATTAGCTGAATAAAATCTGTGTTCCCCAGGCTATTTGGATAATTGGGAGCATGCTGTTATAATAATACTTGCACTTACATAGCCCTTTCCATCCAAGGATCTCATAGCACTTTACAAACACTGATAATTCTATAAATCAGGTTTATAATGGAAATTACAGTATGAATGATCCTTCCTTGCAGCAGACCTGCTGTTATAACTATAGTGAACTATTGAAAATTCATGTGACCAGTATTTCTATGGAAAGCATCATCACGCTGCTTTGCACCAGTTAAGAAGCTTTGGTGTTTGCCTATTGGATGCACTAACTGGTTACCACATATTGGAGCAGACCCTGTTCTGCAGCTACTTTGTGTGTGGAACTCCCATTGGCTTCACTTAGAGTTCTGTATGCAGAGCAGCTGCAGATTAGGGCCCACGAGTGGTCAGTGGAGTCCTCTACCCTGTGCCTGGACTAAGCATCTTCCCTGTGGCTAATATGACAGATGAAAGTGGCTATTTGTATATCTTACACTGTCCAGGTTCTCTCCATTTACCTTTTCCTCCCTTTATCTGGCCCCACACCAGCATCACACACACATATCCTCACAAGTCTACCACCTAACACCAGAGGGGTGCTCTTTATTTTTTTAAATGGGAATGAGATTATTATCTAAAACTTGAATCAGATATTACCTTCTCCAAAGCTTTTCAAACTCCTCATTTCCAATGTGAAAACCTAGTTTGTTAAGTAGGTTCTTAAACTCAGGCATCAGAATCCTGATGTCATCACCTGGGTTCTTCTGGGGCATCAGATCAGCAATATCCAGGGACCTATTTCCAACAGAAGACAATATGATCCTTGCCTTATGAAACTTACCCTATGCCTGCTACACAGAAATTCCTCATTCTCTTACAAAGACAGAATTATTACATTTTGATTTAAAAGAAAAAAAAATCAATCCTGCTATGTATTTGGGGGTTTCTCTGCAATTGCGTTATCCCTTAGCAGTGGAAAAGAATCAAGAAGGTAGTTTGGTTTGAGTTTTTTTTATATGGTCCACTTTGTAAAAGGATGCTTCCCCCTCCCTCCTGATCCCATTCTATAGACTTGGATGCTGCCAGGGTCAAGCCTGATAAATCCTGAACCTTTTACCAATGAGAGCATTTAACATTAGAAGCAACACATCAAGGGATGTGGTAAATTCTCCATCACTTGGAATCTTTAAATCAAGATCGGGTGGCTTTCTAAAAGATATACTCTAGTTCAGCCACAAATGGTTGGGTTTAATCACTGGGGGAAGTTTCTGGGATCAGTGTTACACAGGAGGTCAGACTAGATGATCACAATGGTCCCTTCTAGCCATAAAATCTATGATTGCTGCAGAAGTGCTTATACCTTTGTTTTGCTTTTTCTTTTAGTTGTGCATGCACCTGTGATGCAGTCATCATGATTCTGTCCCCCTGTCTGTGGTTGATGGGATCAAGCCAGGCTGGAGCCCCAGAAGTAGCAGGATCACGAATTGCTGCATACAACTCTTCAAACTTGATAATGGCTTTGTCCTGTAGTTTAAGCCTGTTACAATGCAGGATTGTGAATGTTTGTTTTCAGTGTTTGCATTCTCTTCAGTGACATAAAAGAGATAGATCACTTACTGATGGAGAAGCAGACCATACAAATCAAATCTCTTCCTTTCAAACACTTCTTTCTTCCACTACCTCAGCTCACATACAAAGGAGAAAGCCACTAAGTGGCAATGACATATATATTAATACTTGCATTAAATGCACTAAAATGTGTTGGTATTAACTCCATTAACATTCAACTAGTGATTAACTATGGCTGAGCTGGTGGAGCCTGGTGACATCTCAAAGTTGGCTGGCAAAAGATCGTATTGTATAGGACTCAAAACTGCAGATGCAGAGCCTATCCAGCCTAGCCTGAGGAGTTCCCACTGCCCTACGATTAAATGCATCACCACCACCAGAGTAAGATTTTATTCTTTGACAGATGTCTTCAAGTTGCAGCTAATCCCCAGGTTACCAGGCAGCAAGCACATCCAAATTGCCACCCAGCAGCTGAAATCAGCTTGCCCTTCCCTGCACAGGTCACAGGAAGTTCCACATCAAGGGGTTCGACAGTAGCCTCATGGTGCCTGACTGGCTCCCTACCCTACATAAACCCAAGAGGCATTCCAGGAAGTGTCCAGGCAACAATGTGGATCATTAGCTAGCTGCAAAGTCCACCCTGCATTCTCTGTTCCTGAACTCCTGGTATTGACCATGGCTTTGACCTGGACCTCGACTACCACTCATACCCCAGAACACCCACACAGACCTGATATCAGGTACTGACCTTTGGCCTGATCCTTGACCGGTCTCTGGCTCTG